TTGGTTGTGAGGAATGGGAGGGGGAGAGGGGGGAAGGGGGGTTGGTTAGTTGTATGTTTGGTTGTGTGGGGAGGGGGAGGAAGGGGGGGGTTGTAGGCATTCGGTTCTGTGAGGAGGGAGGAAGGGGAGGGGGGTTGGTTAGTTGTGGTTGTAGGCATTTGGTTGTGTGAGGAGGGAGGAAAGGAGAGGGGGGTTGGTTAGTTAGTTGTTGTAGGCATTCGGTTCTGTGAGGAGGGGAGGGGGAGGGGGGAAGGGGGTTGGTTAGTTGTATTATTCGGTGTGTGGGAGGGGAAGGGGGGGGGTTGCATGAATTGGGTTCTGTGAGGAGGGAGGAGGGGGAGGGGAAGGGGGGTTGGTTAGTTGTTGTAGGCATTCGGTTGTGTGGGAGGGGAAGGGGGGGGGTTGTATGCTTCGGTTCTGTGAGGAGGGAGGAAGGGGAGGGGAGGAGGAGGGATCCTCAGCGAGAACTTGTGGTTGTAGGCATTGGGTTCTGTGAGGAGGAGGGGAGAGGGGGGAGGAAGGGTGGTTAGTTAGTTGTTGTTGTAGGCATTCGGTTCTGTGAGGAGGAAGGGGGGGGGGGGTTGTAGGCATTCGGTACTGGTTAGTTTGTTGTGTGTATGTGTGTATTCGGTTTTTGAAGGGATGAGGGGGGGAGGCGGAGAGGAAGGGGAAAGGGGAGGGGGGATGGGGGGAGGTTAGTTTGTGTATGTATGTATTCGGTTTTTGAAGGGATGAGGGGGGGAGGGGGAGGAAGGGGGGGAAGGGGGAGGGGGTAGTTGTTGTATGTATTCGTTTTGAAAGGAGGGGGCGGGGGAGGGGGGTTAGTTGTTGTATGCATTCGGTTTTGAGGAAGGGGGATAATAATGATGATGATGATGATTATGATGATGAGATGATAATGATATATAATAGTGATGATGATTCATCGTTATCATTATCACATTATTATTATCATTAAGGAGAATGATGATAAAAACAACAATAATGATAATAAAATAAAAATAATATTACTAGTAACAACAACAATAATAATGATAATACTAGATAATAATAATAATCGTAATAGTAGGAGTCTGATTTGCGATGGTTTGTGTTGGTGTTTTTGGATATATATATATCATGCACACATACACACATATACATAATTAATGTGTGTATATACATATATACACACACTTAGAGAAAATACACATATAGATGCTTAGATAACATATGTTTGCACATACACATACACACACACCACACACACCACACACACACACCACACACACAACACACAGCACACACACACACACACACACAACACACACACACACACACACACACACACACACACACACACACACACACACACACACACACACACACACACACCACACAAACACAAACACACACCACACACACGCACACAAACACAAACAGAGCCCCCGAGAACACCCACCATCAAAAACAGAAAACAAAACACAACAACAAACTCAAAAAACGACCCTAAAAAAAAAAAAAAGAAAAAAAAACAATAAATACACACAGTTCATTTTTAGCTTCTCCCCAACATGCGTGTCTCCTCCCACTCCCGCATATGTTGCCTGAGCTCATAACGGCAAGTATATGACCGGAAAAGATGAGGTTTAGAAAGAGTTCCTTTAAAAAAAAAGCCAAAAAGTGGTTGGGTAACTATGAATATTTTTCTGTTTAAAATGGCTGCTGTATTGTGGTAAGTCTTTGTGTCTATTTTTTGTTTATCTATTTCGATTTTGTAATTACAACTCTTGTTATTTTGTTTATTATGAGTATTATTACAAAAGATACTGTTGTGGTTATTACTAAGATTATTATTAATTTCATAAATGTTATTGCTATTGATGTTATTATTTTCATCATCACGATCATTATCATTATTATCATTATTATTACTGTTGTTGTTGTTACCAAAAGATACTGTTGTGGTTATTATTAAGATGATTATTAATTTCATTTATGTTATTGCTATTGCTGCTATTATTTTCATATCAGATATTATTATATTCATTATTTATTATTTTGTTGTATTATATCATTATCATTATCATTATTGTTATGACTTTTTTATTGTGATTTCTATCATCATCATCATCATCATCATATTATATATTATATTACTAGACACAAGCAGATACAATACATTACACAAACACAACTACAGTATGAAAGTTATCAATTCTCATGCATAACACTTTTCACAGTGTAATTACACTCACCAATAAACAAACGAACACAACACACAAGACACTCAACCCTCTCAATAGACTCCTTCCCCTCTCCAATTTTCCCCTTACCCTCCGTTTCCCCTCCTTTTCCTTTCTCCCTTTCCTCCTACCCTCTCTTCCTCCTCCCTTTTTCCCTCTCTCCTCTATCTACTTTTTGCTTCCCTCTCTTTTTCCATTCTCTCTCTTCCTCCTCTCCCTCCTTTTCCCCTCTACCTTTCTCACCCCAATTCCGCCCTCCCTTCTCCTCTATCTTTCTCCCACCACCTCTCACCTCACCCTCTCCCCTTCTCTCTCCCACCCTTTTTCCCTCCATATCTTCCTCACCTCTCTCTCTTCCCTCTCCCTTCCTATTTTCCCTTTCCCTCACCTCTTTACGTACTTCCTTTCTTTTTCTCTTCGCTCTCCTTTTCCTTTCCCCCTCTCACCTTCTCCTATTTTCCCGTTTCCCCTCATTGCTTTACCTTCCCTTTCCCTTTTCTCTCGCTCCTTTCCTTCTTCTCCCTTCTCTACCTCACTAGACCTTCCCCTACCTTCCCACCTTTTCCCTCCCCCGCTACCCCTCCAACCCTTCTCCTCCCCATTTCCCTTTCATGCAATGATCCCTCCGTCCCTTTTCCCTCCCCTCTCCTCCCATCTATCCCTCGCCCTCCTCCCACCCTTTCCCTTACACTCTGCGCATCTCAACCCTTATTCTAGCCATCTCTACCTCACTCTTTCCATTCTCTCCTCTCACCCCTGTATCTGCTTTACCCCCCTACCTCGTCCTTTCACCCTTCAGTCCCTCCCTTCCCCTCTCCCACTCCCTTTGCCCTATCTCCCTTCCCCTCTCCTCTCCCCTTTACTCCAACCCCATCATTCCCCCAGCTACCACAGGAGGACCCCCTTCCCCTCCTTTTCACCCCCTTCAGTCCTCTCCTTTATCCATTCTTCCCCTCCTCTCTCCCTCCACCTTTTCCTTCCTCTCCCCCCCTCTCCCCACGTTCCCCAGCTCCACAGGAGGTCCCTTTTCTTTTTCCCCTCCTTATTTCAACCCTTTCCCCTACCCCCTTCTCCCCTCTCACCCTTTCCCCTCTAACCTCCTCTTCACTTCTCTACTTTCCTTCCCCCAAACCTCTCCCCTCGCCCCCCTCTCCTACCACTTTCCCCCCTTTCCTTCTCACCATTTTCCCTTTCTCCCCTCTCCCATCCCCTCTCACCCCTCTCCACCCACCGTTCCAGCTGCCACAGGAGGTTTTCCCCTTTTCCCTTTTCTCCCCTCTCCCCTACACCCTTCTCTCACCATTTCCCCACCCCTCCCCTCTCCCCTCTCACCCCTCTCCACCGCACCGTTCCCAGCTGCCACAGGAGCTTCCCCGTTCCTTCTCTCCTTCTCCTTCCCCTTCTCCCTCTCCCTCTCACCCTCTCTCTCCACCAACCGTTCCCCGCAGCTGCCACAGGAGATTCCCCGTTCCCCTTTCTCCTCTCCCCTCTCCCTCCCTCCCCCTCTCACCCTCTACCCTCTCCCTCTCCGTCGTCTCCACCCACGTTCCCCAGCTGCCACAGGAGACCCCGTTCCCTCTCCTCCTCGACGTCACGTAGTATCAGCCCTCACGTTCTCAGGGTCCCAGACTCGACCATCTCCTCGAGTAGAACTGGTTGACATCGAAGAGCAGTGACATCTTGGCGTCCCTGGCGAAGTCCTGGAGGAGGCGCCAGTCGCGAGCTGAGGGTGAGAGAGAGAGAGGGTGAGAGAGAGAGAGAGGGTGTGAGGGGGTAGAGAGGGGAGGGGAGGGAGAGAGGGTGAGAGAGGGGGTGGAGGGGGAGGGGAGAGGGTGAGAGAGGGGGTGGGGATGGGGGTGGGGAGGGAAGGGAAGGAGAGGGGGTGAGAGAGGGGAGGGTAGAGAGGGGGGTGGGGAGAGAGGGGGAAGGTGGGAGGGGGAGAGGGTGGGGAGGGAGAGAGAGAGAGAGAGAGAGAGAGAGAGAGAGAGAGAGAGACAGAGACGACAGACAGACAGAGAGAGAGAATAGAGAGAGAGAATAGAGAGAGGAGATAAGACAGATAGATAGATAAAGAGAGAGTGAAAGAAAATAGAGAAATGAGAAAAGAGGTGACGAGATGGGAGCGGGAGAGGGACAGGAGAGGGGGAAGGGAGGGGGAGGGACAGGAGAGGGGGAGGGGGAGGGGGGAGGGACGGGTGTGTGGGAGTGATAATTTTGCATGATTTTTGCTTTTGGGTTTTTTTTTTGGTGTCACGTGCCATTGCGGAGGCACACGGACATGCACATATACTCGTATGCACAAAAGATTCTCTCACTCTCTTTCTCTTTCTTTTATTTCGTTCTTTCATTCTCTCTCTCTCTTTCTCCTTTTTTCGTTCTTTCTTTATTTCTTCTTTCTTTTTTTTTTTCTTTTTTTCTTTCTTCTCTTTCTTTCTTTCTTTTCTTTCATTCTTTCTCTCTCTTCTTTCTTTCATCTTTCTCTTTTATCTATCTCTCTGATCTCTCTCTCTTCTTTCTCTCTCCTCTCTCTCCTCTCTCTCTCTTCTCTCTCTTCCCTCTCTCTCTCTTCTCTCTCTCTCTCTCTCTAATAAAAATGATAAAAACAATAATGATAATAATGATAGTAATAATGATGATGATAATAATTGTAATAATGATAAGAAGGATACTAACGATACTAACAATAGCAATAAGGATGAATATTCCTTTTGCATCAGTTATCCTATTGCCCTGGCGGAGGTATGCGCTAATTGAGTGGTATTATTATTATCATTA